GCAATACAAAACTCTTAACACTTTGCCCTCTCTGTTTACCAAGTGCTAACTTTTTTCTCCTATTTCTGGCACTAGACTGCTTCTCATTCTCTATCAACACCATCGATGAATAATTTAAAGAGCTTATATTAAATAATCAATAATAATCAGCCAGTAGGTGGAGCACAAAGCTTGTGTGTATGTTGAAAACAAAGTATTTTTGAAAAAATAACAGTAATGGGAATAGAGTGGAAACTGATATAATTTAGGAAAGCATTTCCTTCCTCAATTACAACACATGGATTAGCTATTCAGATTTCAAGGTAATTCAAAACGCTGAACCCAGACAGCTGACTGTAAGGTTTATTTAAAAATGCACATAGACAATTACATTTCCAGCATGAACCAACCACCTGCAGCCAGTAACGTCACATTAAAATGGGATACACATTTTACATTGAGCAGTAACAGTGGGATGGTTGCAGTCCCCAGCACACTGGCAGCTGGTATTTAAAAAGTACTGTGTTATATAAACACAAAATATGATACCCTATTTATTTACATCAAGTATGTGTTTAGTCAGTAGCTCCTATTTCCAGAATACTGTTATTTAAACAAAATATCTGTCAGCTACTGCCCCAGAGCACATTTAGTTCTTAAGCTGATCTTGAAATTGCAACTTCGTGTATTAGTGAGACAATAAGAGAATTACTTTCTTGATACTAGGGCAAATTTCTAAAAATAATCAGTAGGCTGCTTGTTCACTATGTTGATGTACTGCTAACACAAAACCAAGGAGCTTGGTCAGTACAAGAGATGCAAAGAAACTAATAACTTCGGATAGGATAGGAGTACAGGTTCCTCTAAATATCCACTTTGAAAAAGATCTGTGACTGAAGTTACTGAGATTTTGCTTTGCAAAGCTATACTTGGTCTTTTCTGTGCAAGTGATGTGTTTGTCTTTTACTAATAAACCAATTAACTGAGCACATCGTGTCAGAAGTCATTTATAATACTGAAGCTGTTGCATTTTAGAGGTATTGACAACAGATGAATACAACATTGTCAGGGAAAATCTCATTGCAAGTACATTTAGAATAGCCTGAAAACAGCAGACTTCAATCTGCAAGCTCTCTGCATATGCAGTTCTTGTTAGCTGGGCACTAGAGGCTATCAGACTTGGACTCAGCCTTGGTATAACCTTGTTCAAAGGTAGCTTGGTGGTGGTTCTTCAAAAAAACACAAAAACAACCCATAGAAAAGTTTTCCCGCACAATGCAACACGAAGAGAATGAACCTAAATGACACAAGATTGAGAACAGGGCAGAAGCTCTGATACATCTTCTCTACATCTCTGTGCTAATGGAAATTCACTGCTATTACTTTTCAGCAGAGGCTTTGCAAATTTAAGGTTGACATTAAATTTGGTCATGTTTGACCAACTTGATAAGCTTCTTCAAAGAAATGACTGGCCTGGTAGATAAGGGGAAAGCAGTGGATATTGTCTAAGTGGACTTCACCAAGGGCACTGATACTGTCTTCTATAAGATCCTCATAGACAAGCTGTTGATGTATAGGCTGGATACGCAGACAGGGAGGTGGACTGAAAACTGTCTCAATGGCCAGGCCCAGAGGGTTGTGATAGGTGACATGAAGTCTGGTTGGAAGCCAGTAACTAGTGGTGTACCCCAGGGGTCAATACTGGCCCCAGTCCTATTTAATATCTTCATTAATGATCATGGATGATGGGGCAGAGTGTACCTTCAGCAAGTCTGCAGATGACACAAAACCAGGAGGAGCGGCTGATACATCAGACGGTCCTGCTGCCATCCAGAGGGACCTCAACAGGCTGGAGAAATGGGCTGGCAGGAACCTCATGAAGGAGAAGTGCAAAGTCCTGCACCTGGGGAGGAACAACACATGCTGGGAGCCACCCCGCTGGAAAGTAGCCTTGCAGAAAAGAACCTGGGGGTCCTGCTGGACACCAAGTTGAACACGAGCCAGAAATGGGCCTTTGCTGCAAAAAAAGCAAAAGGTATCCTGGGCTTCATGAGGCAGAGCATTGCCAGCAGGTCGAGGGAGGTGATCTTTCCCCTCTACTCAGCACTGGTGAGGCCACAGCTGGAGGACTATGTCCAGTTCTGGGCTCCCCAGTACAAGAGAGACATGGGCATAGTGAAGAGAGTCTGACAAAGGACCATGAAGATGATGAAAGGACTGGAGCATGTCTCCTGTGAGGAAAGACTGAGAGAGCTGGGACTGTTCAGCCTGGAGAAGTCTCATGGGGGATCTTATTAATGTCTATAAATACGTGGAGGAAGGGTACGAAGAGGATGGAGCAAGGCTCTTTTCAGTGGTGCCCAGTGACAGGACCAGAGGGAATAGGCACAAACCGAAACACAGGAGGTTCCCTCTGAACATCAGTAAACACTTCTTACTTAGGGCTACAAGGATGGTGAGGGGACTGGAACATCTCTCCTACGAGGAGAGGCTGAGGGAGCTGGGCTTGTTCAGCCTGAAGAAGAGAAGGCTGCGAGGGGACCTAATATATACTTACAAATATCTGAAGGGTGGGTGTCAGGAGGATGGGGCCAAGCTCTTTTCAGTAGTGCCCAGCGACAGGACAAGGGGCAATGGGCACAAACTGAAGCACAGGAAGTTCCATCTGAACATGAGGAAGAACTTCTTCCCTCTGAGGGTGACGGAGCACTGGAACAGGCTGCCCAGGGAGGTTGTGGAGTCTCCTTCTCTGGAGATGAATTCAAGACCCGCCTGGACAAGGTCCTGTGCAGCCTGCTGTAGGTGACCCTGCTTCGGCAGGAGGGTTGGACTAGATGACCCACAGAGGTCCCTTCCAATCCCTACCATTCTGTGATTCTGTGATATTGTGAGAGCAACTGAGCACTGGCACAGGTTGCCCAAAGAGGTGGTGGAGTCTCCATCCTTGGAGATACTCAAAAGCTGTCTGGACATGGTCCTGGGCAACAAGCTCTAGGTGGCCCTTGTGTAGCAGGGGGTGGTTGGACCAGATGGCCTCAAGAGGATCCTTCCAACCTCAACCATTCTATGTGAAGCTTAGAAGTAGAAAACAGACTGTCATACTTCACAGTGCACTCATGTCTACTCTCCATATGTTGACAGAAAAAAATATGAGAGAAACAATTTCAGTTTTGAAATTGTAAAACAGCAGTGCCAAGAATAACTTCTGATGCATGCTTGTAAGCCCTCTCAGGGAGAATTTAGGGTGCTGCCAGGTGACAATGCAGAGCTTAAGGAAGTTATGCTGCCCTTGAGAAACCATCATGATAGCTAACACCTTTACATATGTTTCAAAGCTAATGCATTTTGGCTTATATGCAGATTGGAGACATGACCTGATGGCTGATCCATTAGAAGATAAATAACTTCCTACCCGCATAACTGTCAGGAAAGAAATATTCATTTTCAAGGAACATTTTATTTCTAAATTACTTTCCTCCATATATGCAAAGACTCTTAATTTTTAATTACATTTCACAGCTTATTAATACTGTACGCACTTACTACCTTTCTAACACTAGACAACTAACTCCTTTTCAGTTATTAGAGGAAGACTTGCCACCACAGACTTCCATTTGAACTGCTTGTTATGCTTTGAGTTGTGCCATTCTCAACTGTCAAAAATGGAAACAATTTCATTTTACGAACACCATCCCTAAATTCTTTAACTGGCTCACCCGAGTAACCTGGATTTGTACTGTGTTTCTTAAGGCTGCAATGAGATTCATATGGAAATGAATTTATGTATCAATGAGTATTAGTTTAACTATACCAGTCTATCAAAAATTTGCAGGCTGTCTGGTATTTGCTTTTACATTAGAGTATAATATTTCAAGACCAGTAATACAATAAACAGTGTTCATCTGAGATGCGTAGTGTTACAGTGGTACTGTTCCAGAAAACTAAGTAAGACATTTAATCTTTCAGCTGAGACTCGGTTTATTATCTGCAAAGGTTGTGGGTTGCACACTGTCTTTAATGACTCCCAGATGATCACACTTCCTCTTCCATTTTTCTTTATATTTCAAAACATATGCTGACAGCACACACTGTCAAGCTAAAACGGCAGTATAAACAATATCTACAGCCCCTCACAAAGTATCAACATAGTTCAGTACGTAAACATTGTACAACAGAAATCATCTGATATGGGAACTATGGGGGATGAGCGTTAACGAGTTAACACTAGGCACAGGAACCTGGTCTGAGGCTGGGGGCTTGCAAGGGGAACCCATCTGCCTCTGCAGCACAGACAGCTGAGTCTCCTGCATGTGCGAGTGCAGTCCCAACGCTCAGAAAAGCCTCCTATGCCTGTTAAACAACTTACAGCACGTCACTGAAACAGCTCAGTGTATAATTGACTTAATCCATTTGTCACAGAATATTTAATAACTCTGCATTCTCATGTGTGCAGAAAGGCAGAATATTCAAAGCTCTGTTTGAAACATCAATGCAGAATATTTTCCTTACCAATATAATCCCGTACTAGAAAGACTTTGCATTGTGTTTATTGAGAAGTGGGAGCGCAAAGCCCCACCACGCAGGGAAGGCTGTGCAGCTGTTACGCCACACAGAAGAAAAGCAGACACTTCACGACGACTGCCTGCCTGCTGACCCGTACTGTACTGCCGAACGCATGTCACACATCCACTGAAGCTAATAGAACCCAGAATTACACAAGAAATGCAGATCCATGAAATGAAAGCGCTACTTACCTTTACCTTATACAGTAATAAGTGACTACAGTGAGTTTCCATAAAGTAGCGAGCAACTCAGAATATTGCTCTTTTTATGTTTTGTTTGTCCTATAGCGAGAAACTGCATCGGTGAAATTTATCAGCCCAGATTCCTCTAGAACAAAGCAGTGAGGCTATTTAACAATGTAAACGTGCAAAGAGTAGAAATATATTGAGCCGTTTCAAGGTTTTGATTCACTTTTTTTTTTTTTACTATCTCGTACCAAAGGAACCCTAGTTACTTACCTTCTTCTTCTGTTTGTCTCTATCAAATATCTCTGTGCCCTACTCCGACATATTTTTTGATCTTCTTTCAATGCCCGACGTTCTTCTTCTAAATCCTGTTCAAAATGAAACGGTAAAGCTCTGTCCCTAGCATTGTGTTAAGGACAATGGAAACTGCATTAAACAGCTCATTAAAAGATTAAAAGCCCATGTGATTGACTTCACATATCTTTTAGGAAAGGGCAAACTTTATCCATGAGACACAAAATGCTGATACACCTTTTGACTAAGTACACAACAGCTGGTCCCACAAACATATATTATGGTCATACCTAAGTTTATGTTTACCCCCCAAAAAAATGTAATTGTATTTTACTGTTTACCATGATTTTGACAGAGGCTTTCCGCTCATCTTTCACAGTATCAGCAAATGAAAAATCTTGCCGTTATTATGTCTGTTTGAAGACACATCTTTCTGCTATTATCTAAATCTGTAACATATGGATACACTTATCACAGGGAAAATGTTTGAATAGTCAGTCCCCCCCCAGTCTAAAGGGCTATTTGTTGACCCTGAAATTCATTAATCTCACTGGATAAGAGCTCTCCACAGAGCAAGGCCAGTCCTGCCTCCTGTCAGTACTGACTGGAGTGGCACTGTACGGGCGGAGCTTACAACTTGTGTCAGTATTTCTTAGTACTTACATTCACAAAAACAAGGATCCCGAAGTTAGGAGGGAAAATACACTTCCCAGTGGCAGTGCATCTTAGAAGAGGGAAAAGAAGAAAACTCCGAATTTGCCTGAGAACCCAACCTTCCTACAGCAGCTTAAAGCCCCAGCGTACCAACTTTGTCCCCAGCCACCCCTGAGGCGATCCCCGACCGCGGGTGGGGTGCCCACCGCCGCCC